CAGTCAGTCAGTCAGACAGTCAGACAGACAGACAGACAGACAGACAGACAGTTAGTCAGTCAGACAGACTAGCGGAAAGAGACGGCTTAACAATTAGGGAGAAACAAATGGACAAGTTAGGCAAAAAGATGACATAGCAACGAATCACTTGTGATGGGTTGAAAGTTAAAATACACTTTAGGATTGTAGAGAGTGTGAGTAAGGAAATTGACCTTTCACGGTAGTTTTGAGGGCCTACTAAGTTCTGGTTTTAGCAGAGGAAGTTGCTCCGGGTGAATAGTTCCTCCCTTCACATGGAGGTGACAGCGTTAGCAACTTATTTCTGAATTCTACGGAAGTATTGCTTAACTCAAGAGTATGTTCGAGCAAGAGCTTCTCTTACCTTCACCGCCCATTTGATAGCTTCTGCTTCCAGTGAATTTCGTAGTCTCGGAAAGTTCAAGGCTCGCATTCTAAAGAGCAACACAGGAAAATCACGAAAACTTTCTGAAGGACGACACTCTCTAATGTCAGTCAACCGAAGGCTTTAGCTAGAGAAGAGTAGCTCTTCAAGGAGATGACTGTGATGCATTTGGATTGGTCGAAACCTTTTTCTTCGATGGGAGTTTTAATCATCTGTTCAGGTTTTTAAAAAAGGTGAGAAAGGACCTAGGCAATGCCGTTGAGTAGCAGTTGTCCATAGGAGTTAGGACATTTACTGATCTCAGTTTAGTTTCTCCTTAAAGGTACTTCAGGTTATACTCCAAAAAATGCTCTGTTTCTCATCCCTCATCCGTAGGTGATACTATCAAGTTTCACCCACTGACCGAAAATTGGTCAGCCAGATTTTTCCAGTCTGGGTATAGATAGCTGTAGTGAGCCAGGGAAAAAAGGTGAAGTACGGTAAGGTCGCGTAGTCTGACTGAGTTAATTGCCCCTTTTCTATCTTCAAGCTCGAATGAGACAGATCATACTCACTGGCGAGCAGTTTCGATGATGTCGCACACGAATGAAGGAGACAATGTGGATGGTGGTTCCACAGTTCCCGTCAGTACGAATGTCAGTGCCTGAAAAATGGGAGAAAGTATTAGTGCACTGATCATCCCATTATGTCTGCCATTATAAACAGGAAGGTAAAAGAATGGCGCGTCCTGAAAGAAATTTTCGATCAGGGATGTGGTTCCAGTTCATTTCGTTGAAGTTCAGAAACTAGGTCGTAAAAACTTTATAACTAAAAATAAATAAATCTAGACGTACTATGAGAACCGCTTGCTTATCGACGTCGCCGAAATTTGCATCCTGATGATCCGCTCCTTCGAAGTAATCACGAAAGTATTCAGAAGCAAGAAATAAGCCCTCTTTCGCTGCAGTAATGTTTCCATCTCGACAGCGAATCGTAAAATCCAAACGGGACCTAAAAAAGGAAGGGTGTTAAGAAAAAGGGATCCTACGAGGTTTCCAAATTTCTACCGTAATTCCACCGTTGCTTTATGCTTATACTAGCAGTTGTATAGTACGTATTAGTTGTGTTGTATATGAAATACCAGTGGGATTATGGTGGGATTTTAGATCCGTGTAATGGGGACGTTTTGGGCTTCCGATTCGGATTACAAGTAAAAAATAGAGTCGTAGAGTCGAACCGCGTGACCTTCTCCCCTCCCCACTTGGATCGCGTTATGAAGCCCCATTGAAATTTGCAAATTTGCTGCGATCTTAGGAAAAGTAACGCGCTCTTCTGTGAGCATTTGCCCCCTCCAGAAGCTGATATTTCACGGAAATCGTTTCTCATCATGATAACTTACGTATCAGTGAGCATACGAAATCGGTAATCCGGGACACTGGGTGGGCGAGGAGCAAGGTTCTCGACCTCATCCAAGTTGAATGCGTTGATCGGCATAGTCATGGTGGTGGTCAGTTCGCAAATTTGGCCTGAAATAATCAGAAAATTATTTGAAAAGATCGAACCTACTATTCTTCAGAACCACTTGTTTGTGCAGCTGATTCGCCTACGGAGACGATTTCGTTCTTACACTGTCTCCATAGATTGCGCACAAGTCCCTCTCAATATGACTAACTTTTCCGTGTTCGGAGCCATGTATCAGATAAGTCCACCAATTTGGCATTGGTATGAGAGTCTACCATGACTCTCATACCAATGCCAAATGTCACACCCTACGGGATGTCATACACTTCCAATTTAACCTCCGATAGAGCAAGAGACTAGGTACTCATATTCCAGGGGCTCTAAGGATTGAGCATAGTCCCGCCCACTCTCCTTATCCCGCCCTATTTTTCCGACCTGACAGCGCCACATATGGTTCCGAGAGAGCCACAAATTTATCCTAGCGGGATATCTCATAGGCCATTTTTATCAAAGTGCGCCGTTAATTTCGGGCAGCCACAGTGGGCATTCTAACGAATTTATATGCACAGAATAGAATAAGCATGGCTCATTGAACCCCGTCCAACTCGTTGTCGGCATCCTATCTAAGGTACGAGATTCACCATGTCCGCATAGAAGGCTTCTGGAAGGAACATAAACTTCAATTCTTACAATTCCGGCATCATCTTAGCTTCTATGAAGGCACAGTATTCCGTCAACATATGTGGTTGATATCGAAGGTCCTCAACCGTGACAAAGGCTCTTCTACCATGGCCCCTATTGGTGGTCTAGTCCTCGGTTTCAAGCTACCTGTTCTGCTCTCCCAGAAAATAAACTTCTTCCTAATGGAGGTCTGTAGAAAGTAGAAATATTGTCTCACCAAAATAGTCACTTCCTTTGAAAATTTTCTGTAAGGCCATGCCCAAATCGGATGTTTGTGGCACGTAATATCCACGATTCCCATGCGGTTCATCAATCACTGAACACACCTGAGGGCGGACTCTGAGCATCACTGAAAAATTACACGTATTTGTTTCCTCACTCGGGATCACTAAGCCGATTCCCTTGATGAGTGGCTAGGGGAACGTCCTCTCCTCGCGTCCGTCGAAACCGGGTCACCCCGCTCACTTCGCGCGCGGCGCAGTCCGGCGACCCACTGCGATTTCGGGATGACATTTGAGTACCACCAGGTGTCAGTGCACCTGCCCTAGTCCATGCTATCTTCGCTCCAGCTGACAATGAGCTCTTCCAGGAAATTCGTGTCATGGGCGACTGGCACCAACTCGTCCGGTCCGACGCCGTCTGACCCATTGCCCACCGACTATTGTACAGGTCACAGCACCGTACACTGCATTGCTTACGTGCTCCGCGAAAATCATTGGCCGAGAGATCAAGAGATTCGGAGCTCTGTTTTCCCTGAGGCAATCTTTTGCTGTCTGTCCTCACACTCAGTGATGTTTACCAACAGTACGAACAGTAACAAATACGGTACTGATCTCGACCACTTGCAATTGCTTGTGGGTGAGCGTCAGTCGACTTTATTTGAGAACGATTTCTGTGCATAAGCGAGGTATTTCTCCTCGCTCGTAAGGTCACATACACACTTGATTTGCCACTGCGATTCTGAACGAACTTCGGGTGTGGAAGCATACCCTGAGAAGAGACTGAACAAGGGCAGAAGTACTTCATAAGCTTTTTCCTTGAGCCGAGAACACCGTGAAATCATGGAAAAGGTCTGCTTAAGTAGCGTCGCTGCCACTCTTATGATCTGGGTAACAAATCATGGTCGTAGTCGTCCAGACTAAGTAACCTTCCAGGGCACAGTCGACGGTTCTGTCTCATAAGGCGCCTTCTGGAGCCAATATTTCGAGTTTGAAAAATGGTCCAAACAACCGAAGCAAATTCAAAGTCGTTGGAACGAATGTGTGGGTAAAAGCATGAAGGTGCAAGAACACAGTACCTTTATTGGTTCCTTGGTGGCGGATTGCAAGTTTGAAAGTGCAAGTGGAATCCGCTGGTAGTCGAATGTTGAATACTCGAATGGTCGGTTCGACGGACAACTAAACTTTTTTGCTCTTAAATCTTACACTTTTAGCGACCGCAGTTAGCTTCTTAGTTTCTAAATAATTACAATCGCCCTAGTACGTTAGCACTATCGAAATCCGAGCGTGTGGATCTGTAGGTTCAGGGAGAGGGTCAGGAGGAGTCATTGAGGTTACAGCGTTAAGGAGGTATGGGAGATGTAAGGAGAATGTTCTCTGCACTGTCTTTTCTTGTCTCAATACAAACAGAGGATCAAGTCGGTCATACTACACCCCACTCGATAGTAACGCACTTCCGTATTGATTGATAAACATTTATTTACAACCACAGTCCTGCCTAATCAAAGCCTCAATCAGTAGCAGTCTCATTCGAGCGGTAACGATTTTGTACGTTCCCAGACAACAGTAGCGACAGTAGCATTTTGATAACTAAATCACAACTTAGGTGTGTCAGCCTACAAGTTCAAAAGAGGGTCATGAGGCGCCATCGAGGTCATCGCGTTAAGACGCAAAATTATTGAACGTGTCTACAACGTAGAGTTTTCTAAAACTTCAAGCCTTAGTTTTCTAGTAATGATATGATTCCAGAACCGAAATCATTCCCACCCAAGCGCGTTCCATTCCGGACACTC